TTCATTTTTTAAATTTTTAAAAATATCTTTTTATGTGAGGGACCTGTGATATCTGGTTGTGCCTGAGTGTGTCTGACTGTATGAGTTTATTTTTTTGTTTTATTTTCTTTTTAAAATCTTTTTTAATAACGTATTATATGAGAGATGTGATATCTGGGTGTGCCGAGTGGCCGAGTGTGTCTGAGTTTAATTATTTTTTTTTTTTAATAACTGGGACATTCCTGCCAATGCCCGTTCTTTGAGGAGCTGGGAATGATGAGGATGATGAGGATGAGGACAAGCCTCTCTTTTGTCCTGTTTTGAACTATTTAATTACCGAATTTAATGAACGTATTTAATTATTGCTGCCGTTTCCCGCAGCAGCTCCCTCCAGCTGCAGCCCTGACCCGGCAGCAGAAGGGACGAGGTGGCGGCAGAGCTCTGGAAGAAATCCCGGTGTGTTACAGGAATTGCTGTGGGCAGACTGGGAAAGGAAACAGCTCCAAACTGGTGTCACTGGGGCTGCCTTTGGCACGGACACCGCTTGTTTACCTGACTCCTTTTTTCCCTTTTTTCCCCTTTTTTTCCCTTTTTTCCCTTTTTTCCTGCACAGCCTTCCTCTGCAATTCCAGCAGGAAGCATCTTCCTCCTTTTCCTCCTCGTCTTTTTCCTTCTGCCATCCAAAATTCCACGCACCTGGAAATTATTCCAGCCTGGGGCTGATCCCAGAGCAGGGATTGAGGCAGGATTTGTGCCTGATCCTGCTCTGTAATCCCAAAAAAAAAAAACCCCAGGTCCCTTCCTGGAGCTCTGGATGTGCCGTGGGTGACCTGGGGACAGGTTTTGGTTTTTTTGGGTGAGGAGCAGAGGGACCTGAGTAAGGCGATGTTTGCCAAAGAGGGAGAGGAGGAAAAGCGGGAAATCCACGTGGGAGTCAGCAGGTAGAGAAGGAAAAATTGAGGTTCCTCCTAATCCAAACCATTCCATGATTTTAATGTGTTAGGCTGGGGCAGGCAGGGAGAGAGTGGGAATGAAAACCCTGTGCAGGTGATTTGTGCAGATGATGTGGGATTGTTCACAGGATGGATTTATGGAATTGTTCACAGGATGGATTTGGGCAGACGATGTGGAATTGTGCTGCTTTCCCAGCTGGAATTGCAGGCTGGGCTAGGGAATGACTGCTGTCCATAAAGTGATTTTTCAGCAAGGAAAAAATCAGGAATTTTAGGAAGAATGGATTTAACGGAGAAAGGGGGAAGTGAGGGCAGGGGAGGGTAACGGGATGTGGTTGCTGGGGGTTGATGTCTGACTTTGGCTCCAGACGGGAACGCTGCTCCTCTCCTCGGGGAAAGGCGGGGATGGTTTCCCAGGAAAGCAGCTCCGGAATCAGCCCCGGCTGCCTCAACCCCAGCGGCGATTCCGGAGCTGAACGCGACAGCGGGGGATGAACCCTGAGCAGCGGGATTGGGGGACAGCAGAGCCGGGATGGAGCCGGGACGGCTGGGAAGAACCGGGAACGAGAGGGACAAAACCGGGATTGAGAGAGGGACAGAACCGGGATGGAGGAGAGGAGCCAGGACAGGGCGAGAGGAGCCCAAACCGAGCGAGACGAGCCGGGACCGGTCGGGAAAAGGTGGGAGGAGCCGGGACCAGGCAGGAGGAGCCGGGATCGAGCAGGAGGAGCCGGAACAGAGCAGGAGGAGCAGGGACCGAGCGGGAGGAGCCGGCACCGGGCGGGAGGAGCCGGAACAGAGCAGGAGGAGCCGGGATCGAGCGGGAGGAGCCGGGATCGAGCGGGAGGAGCCGGAACAGAGCAGGAGGAGCCAGGACCAGGCAGGAGGAGCCGGGATCGAGCGGGAGGAGCCGGCACCGGGCGCAGGCGCTGCACCGGCATCCGCTTCTCGGCCGGGCCTGGCGGTGAGGACGCGGGGGGACCCCGGACGGGGCAGGCGGAGCCTGGGGGGGACCCCGGGGTGCGGGAGCGGGGGCGCGGTGGGTCCGGGGATGGGGGCGATGGGGGATAACGGGGGGTGATGATGGTGATGATGGTGATGGTGATGATGGTGATGATGGTGGTGATGGGGACAGGAGGCAGCACGTGGCGCTGGGGGTGCGCTGGGAGAAGGGGGGGCAGAGAGAGGGATGGGGGCTGGGGGTGTCCAGGGATGGGGATAACGGGGTGCGGAGATGCTGGGGATGGCTGGGGATGGGGGATTTGGGCTGGCTAGGGATGGGGATTTGGGATGGCCGGGAATTGGGGATTTTGGGATGGCCAGGGATGGGGGATTTGGGGATGGCCGGGAATTGGAGATTTTGGGATGGCCAGGGATGGGGGATTTTGGGATGGCCGGGAATTGGAGATTTTGGGATGGCCGGGAATTGGAGATTTTGGGATGGCCAGGGCAGGGGGATAGCTATTGGGATACTCTGGGCAGGGGGATTTTGGGATGGCCGGGAATGGGGGATTTGGAGATTTGGGGATGGGGGATAACGGGGTGCAGCCGGAACCATCAGAGGGGGTGGATGAAATTTGCAGGGGGATGCTGGGCACCCATGGGCGGGGGTTTGCGGCTGTCCTGTCCCTCCACGTGTCCCGCTGTCCCTCCACGTGTGTCCCTGTCCCCCGGCAGGCTCCCCCTGTGGCCACCCTGGCGCTGCGCTCCATGGATGGCGTTTTCCTGTCGCCCAGCGAGGATGAGTTCGTGGGCAGGATCTCGGAGGAGCTGCAGCATTTCATGGAGCAGGGGCAGCACCAGCGGTGAGTGCCCGGCCCGGGCTGGGGGCGGTGGCAGCGCCGGGGACACCGTGGGACTTTTGCCTGGTGGTTTGCAGGGTTTTTTTTTTTGGGCTGAAAGCAGCAGCGTTTGGGGTCTGGCTGTGCTCGCATTGGTGTGGGATCCCCTCCTTCAAGCAGAGTTTTGTGGCCATTGGTGGCTTTTACAGGCCCTGGGCTCACCTGGATCTATTCCCAAGCCAGTGACCTTTGGAGCCCTTGAGGTGGCCAATCCCAGGTGTTGGACAATGCTGGGCTCAGCTTGTCGTCACCTTAAATATTTGTTTCAGTGCCTTTTTTTTTTTTTTTTTTTTTAATAAAATATTTGGCAAAGAAATTCGCCATGCAGTTCTCAAACGCTCGGGGACAAAGCGTGTGTGACAGCAGTGACATTGAACATGGGGTTTATTTATCCATTCCTGGTTTATTCCTGGTTTCTGGAGTGTGCCAGGCTGGCAGGAAGGGGTTCAGGAGCTGCTCTCTGCTGGTGCTTCCCAGCCTTTCCCATATGGATACAGCAGGAATGAGAGTCCAGGCCTTGGGCTCAGGCACTCCCAGCCTCCCCACGCTCCATTTGATGTGTGAAATGTGTCTGGCTGCAGCTCTGGGAAGGGATTTGGGCTCTTTAATATCATTAAATCCTGCTCGGCTTTTTTCTGATTTAAACCCCATGCTGGGAGTGACTTGGGGACGAAGTTTGTTAAATTTTTCCACCGTTCCCGTCCCTTCCTGCACGTTTGTGATGCCCTGAGCCCTCTCTCCTTGCAGAGTGCTGCTCTTCCCACCCCTGTCCAGCCGCCTCAGGTACCTGATCCATCGCACCGTGGAAAACATGGAATTGTTGAGCAGCTTCTCGGTGGGAGAGGGCTGGAGGAGGAGGACAGTCATTTGTCACTCGGCTGTCAGGTGAGCTGGGGCTCCCTTGGCTTGGGGCTGGCAACCATCATGGAATCCTGGGATGCCTTGGGAGGGACCCAGAACTCATCCCAGCCGCCCTTTGTCACCTTCTGGGGACACCTCCCACTGTCCCAGGGGGCTCCAACCTGGCTTTGGACACCCCCAGGGATCCAGGGGCAGCCACAGCTCCTCTGGGAATTCCATCCCAGCCCCCCAGCCAGGAATTCCTTCCCAATATCCCATCCATCCCTGTTCCCTGGCAGTGGGAGCCATTCCCTGTGTCCTGTCCCTCCATCCCTTGTCCAAATCCCTTCCCAACTCTCTTGAAGCCCCTTCAGGCCCTGGAAGAGGTTCTGGAGAATTCCCAGCCTGGCTCCAGAAAAGCTCCAGCCCTGGGATCGAGCACCAATTCCCAGTGTCCCATTTAAGGTCTCCATTACCAGTGGCACCTCCCAGACCCTAAAGAACAGCGGGATTTCCCCTTTGGGAATTCGATGCTTCTCCTCCTTTCCCCTTTGGGAATTCGATGCTTCTCCTCCTTTTCCTCTGGCAAACCCCACATCCCTGGGGTGCCCTTCCCTCACCTCCCACCATCCCTTCCTTCCCAGGCTTCCCAAGGAGACCTCGAGTGACCAAAAGCCCGGGGCCAACCCCGCCCGTTCCCAGCGCCCGGCGCAGCCGTGGGGCCGGGGGGGCCGGGGGGGTCCCCGGCTCCGCCACCCTGGGGACATCCACGGCGACAATTCCCGCAGCTCCGTGGGCTCGGGCAGGATCGTCAGGCCGCCCAGGAAGAGGCCGGACAAAGCCCTGTTCGTGTCCAAAGGGATCCGGAAAAAAGCGAATTGGAGGGAGAGGGAGAGCCCCGGGGAGGGGGATGCGGCTCCGCGAGGTGAGAACTGCCCCAAAAATCCCGCGGGGCACGGCCAGGGCGAGCCTGGAGGGAGGCGGCAGGAGGCTGAGGAAGAGGAGGAGGATGCAGCAAAAGGCAGCGCTGAGCATCCTGTGCGTGGTGAGAAGGTGCCTCCCGTCGGGAATAGCGAGCAGGAAAACCGGGACAGAGACTTTTCCCATCCCCACGAGCAACTCCCGGCCGAGGCACCAGGAGGTGCCGGCACCGTCACCGCGCAATTCCAGCGCCGGGAAAACCAACCCGGCCACAATTCCAGAGGCTCGGAGCGTGGGGAAAGCTCCTCCCCTTTGGAGAAGCACAGCTGGCCACAGCTGGCTGCGGCAGAGTCCCCACAGCTGGAAAACCAAAGCCTGGAGAGCGACGGGAACAAATCCTCACCTGCACTGCAGGATCCCAGCGGCGCTGCCCAGAGCTTTCCCAAGCTGGAAAAACAAGAGCAGGGGGAGCAAAAAACCCTTGGGAATGTTCTGGAAGGGCCAGGGGAGGCTCTGGCTGCTCCCGGGGGTGATCCCGGCGCTCCCGAGAAGATCCAGCACAGGGAGGAGCCCCAGGAGGAAGAGGAGGACAAGGAGCGCTGGGATGTGGCCGAGGCTCTGGGCAGGAGCCTGGGTTTGGCTGCAGGGGACACGGAGGGGACGGGGCAGAGCGGCCTCCGGGATGAGGGCACGGCAGAGCTGCTGGCAGAGGTGACTGGAGGGGAAAAATCGGGAAAAATCGGGGCCCCGGGAGGAAATTCCATGCCCTGGGTGGTGCAGGAGGGGTTGGAGTGGCCGAGGTGAGGATTGGGATCAACCCTGGCTCGTTTTATTTTATTTTTTTAAAAATTTTTAAAAATATTTTATTTATTAACGTTAAAGATGAATATTCGTAAATATTGTATTTATCTCCTTTGCTATTTTTACCTGTATATTTATATTTATTTAATTTCTTAATTATGCACATATTTATTGCATATATATTATATATATAATTGTATATATGATATATAAATATATAATATATATAATTATATATGATATATATAATTGTATATGGTGTATAATTATATAATACATATAATTATATATAATTTCTATAATTATATATATGATTATATTATAGATCACATATATAATTATATTATGTATATTATATATTATATATATTTATATCAATATTATTTCACTTATTTGATACTTTATATTATATCACTTATTTAATACCTTTTTAAATTTTTTTTTTTTTTTTAAATTCTCGGTTTGGATCGTCCCAGATCGTTGGGAATTTGACAGTGAAGGACATCAGCATCGAGAGGATCAGTGTGGATTATTCCAGCTATGGGGAGGCCCAGCTCAGTGAGGGGGACTTGGGTCACATCACTGAGATCTACGACTTCCCCTCGTCCCTGAAAACCGAGGACCTGATGGAAATGTTCTCGGATTTCCAGTGAGTAATTCCTCAGCAGCAGCAGCAGCCTGGCATTGGCAGAAAAATCCTCAATTTAATTTTTCACTTTTCTCTCTGTTTCTGTCTCAAAGGGGCTTTTCCTGCAGTTTAGGTCTGGTTTAAAGCCTGGCTTTACTCCTGGCACTGGCAAAAAAATCCAGGATTTAATTTTTCACTTTTCTCTCTGTTTCTGTCTCAAAGGGGTTTTTCCTGCAGTTTAGGTCTGGTTTAAAACCCGACTTTATTCCTGGGATTGGCAACAAAACCCTGAATTTTAATTTTTCACTTTTCCCTCTGTGTCTCAAAGGGGCTTTTGCTGCAGTTTAGGCCTGGTTTAAAGCCCAGCAGTAATTCCTGCATTAGATTTGAAAATTCCCTTTACAAATCCCTTCAATTAATCCAAATAAAT